AAAAAAAAAAAAAAAAGAAAGAAAGAAAGAAAGAAAAGAAAAGAAATGTAAGGAAGTTGAAAGAGAGGGTGTAAGAATAACATTTTTCTCAGTTTATGTTGAAATTTCAAGGAAGTGAGTAACTATAGGATCATACCAAAAATTCTGTAATGAATGTTAAAATAACTCAACTGCCAAGACCATGTTTCCGTGATGCATTTGCACAGTTTCTCCATACAACTTCCTCTGGGTGATATTCTGCAGCTTTCACTCTTATTGAGGCAGATATATGATTAAGTCTTGGAAGTCATTAATAGTTGAAATTATAGAATAACAGGAAATTCCATTGTCTTTCACTAAGTACTACATATTGATCATGCTATTTTATTGACAATATCTAAAAATCCAGGCTGATGGAATCCCAGCTTGTTGTTCCCTCAAGTAGGGCAGAAGTCTAAGTCTACAACTTAGACTTTGCCTTTCAAACATAAACACTGTGGCCTAAATAATGTACCCTCATATTAATTGAAAATTTAAAAAAAAATACTACATGACAGATAAACAGCAACCTGGAAATAGGTTTTCATTTATGCTAAATTGCTAATGTTCATATCATTAAAATGACAACTTCACTTGGATGCAAGTTCATCTGATTATACTACTAAACTTTGATCACATGGATTTATTTTTAGAAGTCCCAATGTAGCACAACTGAAAAAATTAATTTGGCTTACACAAATTACTGTATCATTATGACCTTAATTTTGATCTTTTGTATTTAAAATTCACGCACTAAAAAAATAAAAAATAAAAATAAAATTCACACACTAGATAAAATTCACGAACTAGGTAACAGGGAATTAGAATTCATTATGTTTTCTTTCTTGTTTTTATTGTTGCAAAACACTTTAATATAGTAACATGTCAAACATAACAATCTCAGGATATAATTGATACTAAATCAGATTCTAATGTATAAAATATAATAAAAGATATACATGTACGAGACACATTTATATTTAATTATTTTTAAGTTGCAAAAGACAATTTATTGGTGCATTTTCCTTGCAGTTTGGGAAAATAGTTTCATTCATTTTTTGTGTAGAAGCAACTTTTTTTCTAGTTTCCAGAATTCTTTTTTCCCCATTATTTTCGATTTCAAAATATTATAGGGGCCCAAAAGTTTTTGGTTGCATGTATCAATTTTGTTATGCTTGAGTCGGGGTTATAAGTGTGTCAATCAGATAATGTTCATTATACTTATTAGGTAGGTTTTTGCATCATGTAAAAACCTGCAACCTGTTAGGTAGGTTTTGCATCATGTAAAAACCTACAACCTATTAGGTAGGTTTCTTCCTTACCTTTCTTCCTTACACCCCCTCTAGAAACATCTTGTTACAACATTAAAAAAACAGAGATTGGGCTCATTTCCTACATCATATTGCCAGTGACAGAGACATAGCCCCCAATTCCTTGCATAGTTAAAGGTATTTCTCTACCTTGAAGCTAGGACAGACACATTTCTGTTACATTGTATTCTAAGATCAGCTATGATGTGGTTGCACTTTTGGGCCTTGGTTCCTGGGTCCTTGACTTTGATGCAGGTCTATCAGTTATTTGATGTCCCATGGACTGTCTTAAAAGCCTCCATCTTCCATCTTCTTTATGGAAATATTGTATCCCTCACCTTTAACTTGAATCTATAAGTCACCACAGTCAATAAGTGAGCAATAACTGGCTAATTCTCCTCCAGCAAGTCAGAGCCCAAGGGAGACAAATATATATAGAAGAGGAAGAAAATTTCCAGTCCCTCTGAGCAACAGAAACAGTAAAAAAATGGTTGTCCTTGTTCAAAGTTTAGTCATGGTTTCATTTAAACAGGAACACAGACAATATTCAGAGGCTTAGAAATAAAGGCAGTGAGTTCTCATCTAGTGCCTAGTATCACAGAAATTATTTGTTGACTTCTTGAAAGATTGGTTGATCATACCAGCAAAACCAGTTGGGCCCTTTTGGGAGAGTTAATCTTTGGCTACTTTTACAACTTCTTTCCAGGCATGCAGTAATAGATGAACCTTACCCAAAGAGAAGCCTGGCCTTCATTCTTGGTTTCCTTGGGGTAATCTTAAGTAAGCCTTGGAATGTTCTCCTTGGGGTATCCCCAATATCCTCATCTACTGGGGACCTTGGACCATGCTAGATAGTCTGTGCCAACAATGTCATGTACAGGAATGGGGTTTGGAGCCACCTAGTACCAGCTTAAATCCTGTGAGGACCAGAGATTGAGGTCAGCCATGCAGGTGGTCAGCCATGCCCATGTGACTGAGCCCCAGGAAAAACTCTGGATGCCAAGATGTGAAAGAGCTTCCATGGTTGGTAGTATTCTGCAGTATCACATGATGTTTCTGGGAGAAGCAAGCACTGTCTGCACAACCCACTGGGAGAGGAGAATTAGAATCTCTGTGCCTGGCTGTGTTTGGAATGCTCCTAGATCCTGACTCAGACACCTCTGCCCTCAGTTCATGCTCATCTGTGTTTTCTGTTGTAATAAACTTTAGCCATTGAAACCTGGGTAACACAGGTTTCGTGAGTGTTCCATGAGTTCTGTGAGTCTCTCTAGTGAATCATCAAACCTGTTGGTGACCTAAGGACTCCATACTTGTAATTTGTCTCAGAAGTAATTGGTTTGGGGGACTTAATGAATGTTGCAATTGGCATCAGAAGTGGGATCTATTAGAAAGAATTTGACTCCCTGAAACATGGTGAAATCCTGGTTTGAGATTCCAAGATATCCGCTGACCCTAAATGCACCCCTCTGGATCTCCTGTCCCAGACTTTTAGAGACCTGGGGAATATGTATGGGAAATGAAGCTACAAGCATCTCTGAGTTTATGTGGACTTTGTAGGGTCTTGGGTCTTCACATGAAAGTAGCTTAATTGCACAGCAGGGCTTTCTGCACAAAGTCATGGCAAGGCATGATATCAACCCCATGAGGGCAGGGACCATGGTGGCTTAGCTTACTACTGCATCTCCAGGGCAACAGAAATGTCTTTTCTGGGGGTTTCATTCATTCCTTCAGCACTCACCAACCTATTCATCCACTGTGAAGGACCAGGCAGTGAGCCAGGCTCTGGAAACACTAAGCTAAGGAGAACACAGACTTCATATTGAAGAGCTCAGGGCCAGGAAAGACAGTGTATAGAGCAAACAGCAGGTATTATGTGGTAGTGTTTGTTAAAGACCACACACAGACACGTACAAAGTAGTATGACTACTCTCAGTTCAGCTTCCAGGGGCAAGTGGGTCACCCACCAGCCTGGTGGGGAGGATGGAGCTGGTGTTGGGGGTCAGGATTGGTGAAGCTGATTCCTGTGGTTCATTGGTTGCTTTCAACAGTGGGATCTTGTCCCACATGCATTGTGTGAGGAGTTTACCCTTCCTGCTTTATCATGTCTTGAATATTATTTCCCAAGGTCAAGGGTATGGCCAGATCTACTCTAAGGAAACCCCCCAGGGTTGAGGGCTACACCTTGGGAGGAGACAGAGGAGAGAGAGATGCTACCATGAGAGCTTATAGCCCCTGTACGGGGCTTATAGAAACAGAAACAAAAACACAAAAGCTTCACCTATGCTCAGTTTTTTTTCATGCACACTCTCAGGTATGGTTTTAATTTGATCTTGAAAACTGCCTTGTGAGGAAGGGAGGCAAGTTACACACATACATGGCTCTGCAGGCTCAGTATGTAACTCAGCTGGGATCACACAGATCACAAGTTGCTGAGCAGGGACTCAAGTTCAAGTCTTTGTCTCCAAATCGAGTGCTGTGCCCAGAACCCCCCACTGCTGCCTCCCTTGGAGCTGAGACTCTCAGTCTGCCTCCCCTGCCCAGTTCAGACTCTGTGACTAGAAATGGATCAAAGAATGGGGAAAGGGAAGAAAGACGGGCCTGGAGGGAAGCAAAAGTATTTTCTGCTAAGCTGAAAGCGGAAGAAAGGGGCCTGAACCCTGCACAGCCCTGAAGCAGTGTCCTGGGGGCCTGGAGGGGGATGGGCTGCCCCTACCCCTCATTGAGGGCCTGAGGCCATTCAAAGCTGCCTGGCCTTTCTGGAGGTGGACTCCAAGTGTGGGGGAAGGCAGCAAAAATGGATCCTTTCTGGGACAAAGCAAGAGACCACAGAGAGAATTATGATGGCAAAGTAGAAAAAGAGGAAGGAAGGGAATGTAGAAGCCCAGATAGGAAACTTGGAACAAAACCAAATTCTTTTTTCAAAAATATTTGATTTGCTTGTGTTTAAACTTTGGCATCCACTTCCATAGAATCCTTTGCCTGTTAAGTTTTCCTAATGCCCCACCCTAGTCTCTCCTATGTCCCCCAGCTACTCCTCCTGGGCTTCACCCTCTTACCCAGGTTCTGCTTCTCAGCCCACCCCCTCCCAGGTCCTCCATGCCTCCCCTGCCCCTTCCACAGTGTCTGTTGGGATGGGACGGTCTGGGATAATGGCTGTTTGGTTCCCACATAGGTCACTCTGTTTTGCCAGAAGGATGGAGAAAATTGGAAAATTTCTTAGGTATCTGCCCTTTGAGCAAAGCAGCCAGGCTGGGGCAGAGAAAGGGATACAATTTTGAGGCTGGTTTGTGAGTCCTGAGAACGCTGAGCACCCGCCCACTTGCAAACCTCATGAGTTTGGCTTGTGGGAACTGTCAGACCAGGTCCAGGCCCTAGGGCTTTCTCAGTGGCCTTGTCAGCTCACAGCAGACGTTAACAGCCTTGAACTGAGGAAACTGTGGCCACACAGGAGGCGAGGTTGCTCTGCCCCCATCGTCCCCCACTGCCTGGAGGCTGCTGAGCCTGTGCACTGCAGAACGTCTGGTGGGGCAGAAGGGCTGGCCTGCCTCCTCTGTCCTCTGGTGATGTGGAGGCCAGCTGTCACCCTCATAATTCTGCTGTTCCTTAAGACGCCCCAGTGCCAAGGTAAGAGGTCCAGCCTGCATGGGTCCAGGGCTGATGTGCACTAGGGACTGTGTCTCTCAGGGAGATTAGAGCCCAGAACCCCTGATTGTGCCACTTACACGGTCATCTGGGCCTGTGACTCCAAGCAGTTCCTGAGAGCTGTCACAGTCTAAGGAAGCTTTGAGCAACAGGATTGTTTCCCACTGGCTTTGATTTATTTTTCTGCATAGTGGGGAGAAAAGCCTCCTCCCAGTTGCCTTTAAGGACAATGGAAACCTGATGTTTGAATGGTGGGTGACAGAGGAGAAGCAGCCCTAAAAAATCTGGGTGATTCTGGAGCTCAGAGACAGCAGATGGATATCTGGGGAAGGAAAGCTGAGCTGAGGAGGGCGAGGCCAGCCGCCAGGACAGAGCCTTCACCTCCTCAGCCCCTCCGGCAACTGGAGGCCACAGGAACCTAGAAATTATCAGGGAAATGTTGGCTTGGGGTGAGAAAAGAAGACAGTAAGAGGAGGCTCCACACAAGCCTGTGTCTGTCATCTAGATATTGAGCCATCTAAAGCTCACTGGTGGAGACCCCACCAAAGGCTGTTACCCTCCTTATCGAAGCCTGGAGCCTAGGATGCTTAGAGACTTGGATCTGGTGTTTCAGATCAGAAACTCTGTGAGAGGCTTTCTGGGTGGGGGTGGAGTGAGGGGGACACTCTCTAGGCATCAAGGGAGGTGTCAACTGAGACACAGGGTTCTGTTGGTGCCAGGCTGAGCAGAACCCTGATATACAATAAAGTCCCAGGCCAGGAATCCATTGAAACATGCATGTGTCCTCCAGGAAGACCCAGTCAGGGCTCAGCTCAACCTCTGTAAAGGAGGCCGCCATGTGGGGCAAGTGTGATGAGAAGGGAGCAGTGAGGGCGGCCGGAGCTTGGGGCTCATGTGGGTGGGCTGGGGGGACACAGAAATCCAGGATTCTAGGGTGGAGTGCTAGAGTGGAACCTGGTCTGATTAGCTGAAAGGGGGCTTAGAAAGCTGAAGCAGGAATGATGGGCTTTGGTGTCTGGCTTTAGGAATGACAGTGACAGAAGCAGAAGCTGACTTGAGGGTGTGAGCTTGCGTGACAGAGGACGCCACTCCCTCTATCACCACACCCAGGGCTTCAGTGCATCTCTGGGCTGGTGGAGCAGGCCATTGCAGTGGGAGCTGGTGAGCTTCTCCCTCTTCTTGCTATGTCGGAGTCTGTGGGGCTGGTCTGGCCTAAGCTGACTGAAGCTGTTGTCTTCATCCGGAGACATTGCAAGAAGAGCCCAAAGAATTCTTGTATTTCCTTCACCTGGATTTACCACTTAACATTTTATCTCATTGGCTTTATTTTTTCTTTCCATGTATATATGGATATGGATGCATAATAATAATTTTTGCTGAACCATTTGTGAATATGTTGCAGACATCATGCCCTTTTGCTCCTAAATATAATCTCGTTATCTCCTGCAAACAGGAACATTCTTATATTATTATAGCACGACCATCATCAAGTTTAGTAAACTTAACACCAACATATTCAAATACCGTGTTTCCCCCCAAATAAGACCTACCCAAAAAATAAGCCCTAGCAGGATTTCTGTGCATTTGTTAACTATAAGCCCTACCCCAATAATAAGACCTAGTGATGGGCATGACTACGCAGTCACATGGAAATATAGGCAAACCATGCACTTCCTTGCGGAGAGGTAAGAAAGACTGGAATACCTTTTATCTGCCACAGCTCCTTTCTCCCAGCTGTTTGCGCTTGCGTGGGTGCACATGTGGTAACCACGGTCACAGGCATCCTATTGTGCACGTGCGAACGGCTAGGGGGAAGGAGTTCACGCATCACTAGTGCCACCCCACCAACAAGGTCAATTCCTCCTGTCAAGTTCCAGAAGAAGATGATTTAACGGTATTTGAATAAATGTAGATTACTGTATTATACTTAATAAAAATAAGACATCCCCTGAAAATAAGCCCTAGTGTGTCTTCTTGAGAAAAAAATAAATATAAGACAGTGTCTTATTTTCAGGGAAACACGGTATTACCAACTGTCTCAATAATGTGTTTTAGGGCATTTTTTCTTTCTTGACCCAGGATCTAATCAGGATAATTATGACATTCAGTTGCTGTATTTCTATAATCCTCTCTAATCTGCAGCCACACTTTAACCTTTCTCCATCTGTCATAACAGTGAACTTTTGAAAAGTGTAAGGCAGTTGTTTGGTGGTGAGTTCCTCAATTTGGGCTTGTCTGTTGTTTCCTGGTGTGGGTGTCATATGAATTTGGGGCAGGAATACCACTAAGGGATGCTATGCTGTTCTTAGTGCATCCCATCAGGAGACAGATGATGATAGTGAATTTTTTTAAACTTTGTTTACTAGAAAATTTAATATGCATGCTATTTCTTTCTTTCTTTCTTTTTTTTTTTTTTGAGACAGAGTCTTGCTCTGTCATCCAGCCTAAAGTGCAGCGGCATGACCACAGCTCACTGAAACCTTGAACTCCCAGGTCCAAATAACCCTCTTGCCTCAGCCATGCAAAAAGCTGAGATTACAGGTGTGCACTGCCATGTCCATCTCATTTTTTAATTTGTTATGGAGATGGGGTTTTGATATGTTGCCCAGGCTGGTCTTGAATTCCAGGCTTCAAGTGATCCTCCTGCCTCTACCTCCCAAAATGCTATGACTACAGTCATGAACCACTGTGCCCAGCAGTGCATGCCATTTATGTGAGATTTGATATCACATTAAAGTTTTGCAAAAATCTTCCAAATTCAAGCAAAGTAAAAGCCACCTTGGCCATTTTCATGATGGCCTACGTGACCTGGCCTCCAGGACCACATCCTACTTCATTGCACCTCTTGCTCACAGCGTTTCAGCCACACTTGTGCTGGTCTCAAGCATGCTCCCTGTTAGGGCTTTGCACCCCATTTTCTCTACCTGTATGCTGCTCCCTCACTGGCCATAGGGCCTGCTCTCACCCTCAGGCTTCTGCTCAAATACTGCCTCTCAGTAATGGCTTCTCCATGAAAAATGTTGTCCTGCCATCCTGCAACCCCTTATCTCTTTCTCTCTACTTCATTTTTCTCCACTGTACTCATCTCCACTTTACGTTCTATTCTGTTTACTTATTTATTTTCTTTTTCTGTCTCCTAGTCTCCTCTTCAGACTACAAGAGTATAAACTGCTTGAGGCTTTTGTCCATTTTATTGACCATTGCAGCCTCAGCATCCAGAGCAGAACCTGGCATGGGAAGACCCTCAGCAAATATTCATTTTCACAACAACGTCCATCTCTCTATCCTCAATCCTTCCCTGGATATGTTTTGAGCAGTTGTGTACCAGGCCCTTGGCCAAGTAAGGATTCAGGGGTGAATAATTCTAGGGCCCCTTTGTTCCTTGAGTCTACATTTTATCTTCTGAATCAAGATGTAATTACAGTTGTGATTAGTGCACAGCACAGGGGCTAACTCATACATATTCAAACATGTTTGTTGAGTGAATAAATGAATTTTAATCAGACATTTTAGAAGCAGTCTGGGATGATTTGGGGGCCAAATACATTGAGAGCAGGGACCTTCAAATCACCATCCGCATAGGCCAGGCATGACAGCCCATACCTGTCATTCTAGTACTTGAGAGGCCAAGGTAGGAGGGACACTTGGGCCCTGGAGTTTGAGATCACTCTGGGCAAAATCGTAAGACCATGTCTCCACAAAAAAAAATTTTTTTAAATTAGGCAGTTGTGGTGGTGCATGCCCATACTGCCAGGTACTAAGGAGCACTAGTTGAGCCTGGAAGTTCAAGGTTGCAGGGAGCTGATTGCACCATTGCACTCAAGCCTGGGTGGGTTTGTCTCAACAAACAAAAACAAAAGAGAAACACCAACGGCAGGAATAGGCCTAGGCCCTCACGTTCATTTTGTACCCTAAATTCAGGTTTTGGGTGTCCATTCTGAAGAAGTTCCAAAGGACATGCTGGAGTCTATGAGTGGAGGATGAGAAAAGCTGGACAAGAACAAGGGTGGGGGCACCTCCCGGATTAGCTCTGAGGGTTCCGAGCTGCAAAGATGTGTGGAAACTTTCACTTCACAGGGAGGGGTCTCTAATTACAACTGCTTTGGCTGGGATCCAGGAAATATCCAGGAAGGCTGGAGTTGTTTGTACTCATCTCTTCCTCATTGTACTTCCCCTCAATTCGGAGTGAAGGTGAAATTGATGGGTCTGAGAGAGAGATTGGGACTCAGAGAGGCCTGTGCTGCTGCCCTGTTCTCAGGGGAATCCAGCTCTCTAAAAATCAGTCTAGGGATAGGCATCATCTCTGTAAACTGAGCTTTCTGATGGAAGTGCAACATGGGTACAGGAAAACGCACAAAAGTATAAACACATCTGTCAAGGAGTTAGTGTTAAATGGACACACTCTTGTATCTACCCCTTGTTCTGCCCCATTCAGTACTTCCTCCCTCCACCACAAATATAATCACTGTTCTGACTTCTAACGTCAGAGATAAGGTTTGCCTGTATGTAAATGGAATCCTGTGGTTTCTACTCCTGGGTCCGGCTTCTTTTGCTCAACATCTAATGAGATTGATCTATGTTACTACTTGTAGCTGATCCTTTTTGTGGCTGTGTAGTATGATAGCTCACTCACTCATTCTATTATTGATGAGCCTTTGGGTTGTTTCCAGTGTTGTTTGCTATGATCGTAACACTGCTGTGCACCTTTTGTATGTGCACGTCTGTTGAGTGTATCTCTGCATATTAGTTCCCTGTCAGGTGAACAGTCTGCAAATATTTTCTGTAGGTGTTCTTTTCACTCTGTTGATTGTTTTCCCTGCAGTGCACACACCTTTTAGTTTGACATAATCTCATTTGTTTATTTTTTGCATTTGTTGCCTGTGCTTTTGAGGTCTTACTCAGAAAAATCTTTTCCCAGCCCTTACTATATATTCTGAGAAATATGAAAGTTGTTGTGGGGGAAACAAAGATGAAGCAGACGT